GTTAGCTATGTCTCGGTAACTTTAAATCAGAAGAAACCTACCCGATCGTTGATGTTGGCACTGCCGCAAATAGCAATTCTGTCATCTACAATGCACACCTTTCCATGGACATAAAGTTCCTCCTGGACAAAGTTTTCCCTTTCATCTTCCGCTTCACCCTCCCAGGGCTCATCAGACATCCTGCCACCGTTTAGCATAGTCGTGTGGGCAACCGTATCCTTGCTGGAGGGTTTGTATTCGGATCTGTGACGCTCGGCCTGCTCCTCATATCGCTCCAACTTTGCAAGCCGCTCTTCTCTTTCTTTCTGTGCGTCTTCATAGCCAACTTCGCCTTTATCTCCCTCTTTACCAATGGAAGGATGAACACTGTCACTCATGATGGACTCCGCAATTCCACGTTGGATATCATTGTATGTCACTCCCGCTTCCTTCTCTAGTGCTTCTAGAGCAGGGGTTTTGTTGATACGGTCATACGCGCGCAGATTGAAAACAAAGATGTGTTCTTCGCCGGTTAGTAATCGTGATAATAGGAACAGAGGTAGACCACTCACGTTCAGGATCGATGTTGTGGTGCCTGAGTTGGCCGAAGATCGAGTGCTCGCCACGATTGATCGACTTATACTGGTAATCCATGATCGCCCGGGTGCCTGTTGCTTCAGTCTGTCTAAGATCTCCTGCAAATCCAGGAATGGCCGGAATCACGATGATCACCCGGAACTTTCTTCCTTCCCTGGCTGCACTGACGCAAGCATCGACGATGGCCTGTCCAATGGTATTGAGTATAGGTTTCTGTTGATCTCCAGTGGCCGTGACTAACAGAATCAGTAAATTTAATAGAGAAAGAGGAGCAAGTTGAACGTACTGAAAAATTGATTCTCAATGTAGACGTAGTGCTTAGCGTTGCTGATGATCTCCTTATAAGCGTTCTGGATACTATGCTCAGTCAGGATACCGCTACTCCAGTCAGCACTGCTGCGCACAATCTGTGCCCGCGCACTGCCTTGGGCTCCACGGGGCTTCGAGGTTAGAGGAGCATAAGGATGCTGAACGTAGTCACCACAGGGGTACTTAGGCCGCTGCACAGCGACCAGGTCCTCATCTTCACCGAGGCGGCCCTCCAGCATCAGCCAATCAACATTTTTATCACGCTTGTACTTATCACGCTTGATGAAGTTCCAACGTAGGACAAAGTGCTCGGCAATATCATAGACACAGTCACCCACAAGACCCATGGCCACGTCATGCCAGGGCATTCGGCCATATTCCACCTTACTGAGTTCGTTCGCTTGCCATTGTGCAACACTCTGAAAATCCATGATGCGATTGTTGTTAAAATCCTGTCCTGGAAAGACCTCGTCCTTCATATTCGATGGATGAACGTCAGCCAGAGGATGCTGGTTAGCATCCCATCTTCCAAAGCACAAATCGATGCCTCCAATGAATGCCAGGGCATAGTCAATAACAATAAACTTCTCGTGATGGGCCTTATCATCATCAGTTTCTCGGCCGTTAAACATGTTTAGATGCATTAGCTCACCCAGTACAATGTCATGTCAGCTGCATTCTCAAAGATGTTGTGATCTGGATGCCGCAGGATCTTGATGTTTCCATGGCCAGGAGTACCTTCTGGGCAGAGATTGCGCAACGCGTGTTTCGTATGGGCCGAGTTGCAGGTCAGTGCTTGGTTGACCTGACTTTATAAGTGACTGGACGTTTTTCAACGTAATTGAAAAAGACTGACCTCCTTGTATACAATCACGTAGATCTTCACTCCCGCTTCCGCACGGCGCTTGAGCACCTGGTCCAGTCGCCATTCCAGTGTCTGATACGCCGGTCTGCGTAGAAATAACTCTGGGGAAAGCCACCAGTCTTCGATGTAGATGACCTCCTTCGCATTTTCGAGAGCGATGGAAACAGCCCAAAGATAGTCTAGCGCGTCAACATACCACTTCACCTTGTTGCCTTCCCGAATCGGAGCGAAGGATTTGAAGCGATGGGATTCGGCAATTGCTGTTCTTTTTTTGTCGGTTTCTTGTTCGTGCGCTTCGTCATGACGGTGATTCGGGTTGACAATGTTGAAGAATTTGCCAACCTTATGCTTGAAGTGGTGTGCCTCCTCTACAATGTTGGTATCTATCGGACCCTCTAGTCAGTTCGTTCGTAGCAAATTGGTGGATAGGATTGACCTTTCAATGAGTCCTCCAACGACTGGATCCTTTCCTTGAACTTGTCCATTGCGACACTCTACAACAACGCCCTTGGGGAATTAAATTGGGAAAAAAGAAAAAGAAAGAAAGACCCAACGTGGGGAGTTGTAGTGCAGCCAGGCAGCCAAGTGTTCCTGAAAAAGTGGGCTCTGTTCCAATGAACAATGATTGAGGGGTACGTATGCGCCGAGCCTCCAATGACATCACATTGTTTGGCTTTTAGCCTTACCAAATTAAATTCTTGAGCTTGCGATCTCGTCACCTGATGTGTCCCTCCGCGAATCCACACACTAAAATAGTGTCCTACGGAAGTTGCGGAACCTCGCAATTACAATTCCTGGACGTATTCGATAAGCGAGCCGCTCCTTGGTGTCTCGAACATCGCCGGTACGCCCCACCCTCGCTGAACAGAATCATTCAAAGTTAGTGGGTACGTTCCCAATGGTTATAGAATCATTTATGCCTGAGTCCTATAATATGTAGTAAAGCTCGCAACAATGATATACTGACCAGTTTCCATGTAGCACCATGAGGGCAATTCGCAATAACATCTACAAGGATGACGTCGACTTCGCTACCCTTGCACTGCAATCACCTGAGTTCGCGAAGTAGTAAGTCTAGCTTTATTGAACCAGAAGTTTGGAGGTTTCACGTTCCTAGGCGACCATACTGAGATGTCACAGTCTGAAACCAAATAGTCAATTGGATTTCAGTGATCCGGATGCTGTCCGGTAAGATCTACAATCGGTGGGGTTTGGTTTTTCGATTAACTTTCAATAGTCAATTAAGCAAAAGTCTCTTGCAACGAGACTTTGGTCTTAATGTTCACATTCCGGAAAATAGGTTATGCCCACCGGTATGTACCAGCTAGTGTACTTCTACATCTATTTCTACACATTGGAACTGACAGCAGTTGCAGGTTCCAAACAGGTGCGCCATGGCCCCAAGTATGAATTTCCATTCCTAATAATGTCAGGTTAAATTATATTCTATGGTTGCAAAGCCTCTTGGACACTACTGGAAAGGAATACCGTGATGACTACGACCCTGATAGAAAGGTTGTCGGCCTTGACATGTACTGCTTCACTCCATTATCAAGCTGGGTAGAATCGATCTAACTTCCACAGAGGAACAGGATGCTGCAGCATATACCCGCTTCTTGGCTGTTCTGTTAGGCCACAATGGAATTTTATCGCAACAGGTAACATTGACTGCATGAAAGATGAATAACATAACACTAACGGATACGTTAGACATCGATGATGATAATATACGAACGTCTCGAGAGGCCGTGTCTGGGAATAAGTTAGAGTCTCGAATTCGCATTGCCAAGACTGATCCCAGTGGTGCTCTCATTCCCCTGAATAAGCTCAAAGTCGAAGGGTATGTAGATCTGCAGATAAGTTATGTACTTCTGTTCCTAATGTGATTAAAGCCTTGATTTCACAATGTGCAACCCTCCATTCTATACATCGCGTGAGGAGCTAGTGTCCTCAGCGCAGGCAAAAGAACGGCCACCATTTTCTGTAAGCCACATAACCCAACGCTTAGATCATGCACTTACACTAGATACAGGCGTGCACCGGTGCAGAAGTAGAAATGGTTACCCAAGGAGGGGAAGTTGCATTCGTGTCGCGCATGATCGAAGAAAGCCTCGAGCTCCGCCAGAAAGTCCTATGGTATACGTCAATGCTGGGAAAACTGAGTAGTGTCTCTATACTGGTCGAGAAACTCATTGGATATGGCAATCACAACTATGCGGTCACGGAGTTTGTACAGGGCTCTAAGACTAGGAGATGGGCGATAGCATGGTCGTGGGGTGATCTTCGCCCTTCTGTGGTATGTCTCGCTCATTCACACATGTATTCCGTATGGTACTGATAGAGACAGGACGTGGCGAGATCAATCACGACTTTTCCAAAACACCTTCTCCCATTCCCGTCGGAATACGTCTTCAATATTCCCCACGGCTCTATCGACCATGCAAGTCAAAAACTTGATAAGGAGCTCGCTTCTCTTCCTCTCCAATGGCTCTGGCGCAATAACTTAGCCGTGGGCGTTGGGTTCGCCCTGGAAAATGTGTGGTCGCGCCAGGCGCGTAGGAAGTTGAAAGGTTCGGCTGGTGCAATGCAAAGTATAGATGTAGATGGCAGTAGAGCAGCATTGGGATTCAAAGTGCATCTGAGGAAAGAAGGCATCGAGGAGAAAGGCATTCGAGTACTGATAAGATGGCTCAAGGGTACAGATTCGGTTTTGTTCGAGAGCTTCTGTGGCATGGTGAAGAGGAAGCTTGAGGGCAGGTAAGAGGATGCAAAATAAATTCAATTGTTATTAGCGCTCTCGGTCACGGATCCTCTCCAGATAATCCTCAATAGTAAGGAAAACTAGATGAGCTACATTATCTTCACCCGAGTAGCGTCGGAGATTAACGAGAGTGCAGCCTTCCCAATTTCAACGTATGTAGTTTTATGACTCAATGAAAAGACCGGCCGGTCTTTTGGGCCCCGCTGTTGGGCGAACTCCCATGCCCAGCGCCATGCCAAACATTATGGACAAATGTACAACTCATGAAGTTGACGTTGGCACCGAAGTCATATAGTGAGATAGCGGTGGACTGGGATAGGGAAGAAGAATGGAGCTCAGTATTTTGCAACCCGTTTTCTACTGTGAGTGTTTCGAAGGAGGCTTCACTCGCTGTGCGACCTCGGGAATACAAACTACCTACTGAGGACGGTTTTCGGCGCCCTCCGGTTAGGGAAAGTTACGGTCATTAGGAGAGACCCGGTTCGTATAGGTACATACATATATAAAATCCGGCTCACATAGAAAGGTTAAGCACAGAAAAGTAAGTCTACAACAGTCGCCATCCAGTGAAAGACAAGCAATCAGGTAGGCGGGATATCCAAAACACGGGGGAAAATAAATGAATAATAAAAAAGATAAGGGAAATGAGAGAAGCAATCAACGCCCGGTGCTGTCTTTACGATGGGAGACGGAGGTTCTCGGGCTAACAGGTGCTTGCGAAGCAGGGATTCCCAATTTTGCTTCACCAATTCTGCGAAGTAATGATTGAAGCGCAATGCGTATTTCAGGGTTCAAGTCGCGACCGAGGAGATCAACAGATAGCGGGTAGAAGGTTTGGATGTGCTTGTCAAAGCCTTCAGAAGGGAAGTTCGTATACCCTTCCAGCACGTCTACCACTACAGGACGCCAGGCGAGCACATTTCGATGTTGTGAATCTTCGTCAAGAAGGACAAAACTGCGAATTATATCGGCACAGAGTCTATAGAAGATTGGTTAGTCGAGAATTAACGCTTGAGTTGTAACCAGACACTTACGGAATGAGTGCAGCCTCTGTTTCTGCACGGCTATTCCTCCTCTCCTCCCTCTCATCATGGTACATACGGAAAAGGATGTGGACGTAGGTTGCAGCACTTCCACTTTCCTGCTTGAGGAGGTTCGGCGGCTGCTTCATGAATCCTTGTCGCCAAAGCTGCATGCGGAGTTCTTTGTCCTCGTTGAATTTCTTCGCAAACTGGTAACTCTTCTTCAGGAGCCCCATTAATCGAAGAAGCTCGTGGCTCGGAATCTGCGCATAAACCTTGTCGTTGGAGAAGAGTTCATGAACAGTTTCGATCATGAGCAACTGAAGGACACAGTTCGTTATGATGCGGTTGAAGTACCGACGACGAGCAACAGTGACCGCAGCTGGCTGTTGCTGTACCTCGGCCTGAGGTCTATAGTCCTCCAGCTCAGAGTTGGCAGCGGTAGGCATGTCCCCTTCCTCATGCTCATGTGCCACATTTTGCAGTCCGTTAGTCTTCGAAGAATCGGTAAGACCTTCCCGTGCTGAGGATGTTTCGGCAGTCTCGTGTGTATCTCCTTCATTGCTTGCGACTTCCCCGTTAGTAGATTTGTGCGATTCGGAAGACTTTGTAGAGATGGCAGCAGCAGCGGTGAACAACTCGTAGGCAGTGGTCTTGCTGAAAAGCTCCACGAAAGCACCAACCACCTTCTCCCAGTGCTCCTGTTTGAACTTCATAACATTCTGCAAGATCAACTGTTGTAAACAGTTGCTGCCAATTCGCGCGATAGTGTCGTTCTCTTGACAAATGCATAGTGTAAGGAGCTCCAGTATGCGTCCCAGCATGTATTCTAACGCGTCGAAGTAATGCGTGAAAAGGGTGATCATGTTTCTTAATGCTTGAATCATCGTAGTGGATAGCCACACAGATAGCTCTTCATGGTTGGGCACTTTAGACATCTCCGATTTGGACTGCAATACGACGAAGATAGGATAAAGCAGCTGTCTCCAGAGAACATCCCAGAACTCTTGAGGGTAATCACCACCGTATCTGATCAGCGTTTCGAAAAGGTATGTCAAAGCTCTAAATCTTGTGTTAGTCAAATGCTCGCATGCCAAGGGCAAAGGGAGCTTACCGTGAGCGAACTTCAAGGTCGTCACCAGTCATTAACACGTCTTGGAACGCAATTAGGATAGGGTACCAGAACTGTTCCTCCTTAGATTGGCGGCTAAGTTGCTTGGCAAGGTTCGTATTTTCATCATGATGGAATTCTTCAGCCGATGAGCCACGATGCGAAAGAGGACATTCAGGCGTTCTGAGCATTTTTGAGACAGTTGACTTCAAAGTTTCGATAGCCTGTAACGACTTCTTCTGGAACTTCGAGTTCTTAGAAAACTCTGTCAAACATACGACCAGATCGGGGAAAGCACCCTGTGTGATCACAACGCCAAACCGTGTGTTATAGATCTGGGTAACATGTTCGAAAGCCATATTCACAATGCCCTCTATAATCAAATTAGCGAATTCCAAATAGCAACCCGGGGGCACCACCGCTTACCGTAGGGCTCGCGAGCAGCGACTGTAAAGACGCCAAACATCGTTTTCCAACCAGAGCGAATGTTATCTCCGCGGGCCTGAATCATCTGGATAAGACATCGCAGAATCATATCTTTCACGGTTACCGCGTTGCTATTAGCCATGACATGCTCAAATGGCTTGAGGAAATCTTTTTGAAACTTGAACCCTGGAAGCTCTTCGATCTCCATAAAGCGCATCGACAGCTGACGAAGCGAGTCCAGCGCAAAAAAGACCACCGTTGTATTAGAGTGACATCCAACAAGGTTGAAATGCTGTCCAAGGACTTCCCAAATTTTGGACCATTCTATCCTAACTCTCGTCATGTTATAGTAACTAATCTCAACGAGCTTTTGCAAACTGTAGGTACGTGGAGAGTCGGTTTGTCCGGAAGATTGGATCTCTTGCCAACTTACGTCACTCAGTGCCCGGATGAAGTCAATGATGGCTTCATGAGAGAGATTGGCAGTATTCGTGAAGATTCGATCTACACCCCTAATCATCTCAGCAGACCGGCTTTCCATTGCAGCTTCGGTGCGGAAGGCTGTAGGACCATTGATTGATCGAGGGCGTGGCCGTCTTGATGATTGGAAGGATTTGCGGGAACCATCTGATGATGCTTGAGGCACGATACGCGCCCGCGAAACATCAGGTAATGATCCTTCATCAACGCCGTCAGTGAGAAGTTGGAGCCGATCCAGCTGGCTAACGCATGTGAGAATCTCTCTCCAAGAGCTTTTGAGGTAGTTCCCTTCTGTAAGTGCTACATCAAGCAAAGCTTTCAAAGCCTCGACATTCTTCGCCACCATTTCTCTAACGTTGCCCAAGTTCGTGAACTTAGCCAGAGCCGTCACAAATGCAACTCTGGGAGTCTCCAAGTCGAACGAACAGCTAACTCGGATAGCTAACTTCATTCCTTCCATGCACAGTTTAATCATTTCAAGGTTCTGGGTGTCCTGCATTGGGGCAGACAGGCCGGAAAGGAAAGACATCCAAGTGACATTGAACATAGAACCAACGTGTCGGACAGAGGTAGCAGGAATAAACCTCGAGAGAGCCTCCCTGACTGCCGTTTTTCGTTGCGCCCGAATCAAGCTTCGATAAAGTTGCTCGGTCTTGTTAGCCATCTCTTCAGAGGCTTGAGCGTACTTTTCGCCTTGGATGTCCCTCCCTACTGTGGCAAAGACTTGTCCAGCCCTTGATGCCAACCCTCCAGGTGTGCCCGTGGGCATTCCAACGTTTGCGGCGTGTTCTCTTTCTGTATCAAGAACGATTTCATTGCCTGCAATCTCGTCGTAAATAGACGTAAGATATTCCTCAGGTAAGTCCTGATTATCGTTGATACCCCTGTTGTTTTTTATGAACTCCTCTTTCGTCATACGACGACCCTTCATCTTGCTGCTGTGCAGGTCTGTGTTAAGCAAGATGACGGAGTACGCAAGAACGTAAGCCGTGTCAGCATTTGCGAAAGCATTTGGATTTTGGGTTGTGTAGCGCTCTGCAAACTTGAGCATGAAACGATCAATCTTCTGTGCCTCTCCAGGCAGACGGAAATGTTGCAGGAAGCCACGAAGAGCATCAACGAATCGCCGCTTTGCGAAATCCATCATGTCAACAAACGCATGCATGATAGCAATGTTCTCGGCGTCACCTTCACCAAGGTATTCTCCTACCATAGCCTTGTCTAGCCGGTCATTACGGAATAACAAGGACGCAATCTCGGCAGGATCGGACTTGATGAAACCTTCCTGTATGAATAGTTTGATGCCACGCTTAGGTTTAAAATTGAACTGCTGGACGGCATTCATGAGCGCAATCTTTCTTTGCTTGACTTTCTCCATCTGGCTTGGATCATCTTCTGCCACAGGTGTTGACCGACCGGTTCCACCCTCGGCAACATCGACCCTTGGGGATGAAAGGAATGCACCGGCATTTGTATCCAATGACTCTCTCGAATTGTCAATGGATTTCTGAGACGATATATTAGTGACAGTCTGATCTACCATACGCTGAGAGGCCCAATTGTCTAATGATTGCAGTATCTCAACTAGAGATTCGACTGATTGGTGTTTGAGCGTATACTCAGAAGGGACACCCTGCAGATTAGCCTGTTGAATGTTGGCTACATTCGCGGTAGTGAGAGTCGGAGGTAAAGTACCGCGTTGGTGCCACTCAATTCCTAAACGAGAGATCTTGACATGGTGCTCCTGGAATTGATGCTGCTGGGCTGCGGTAATAGAGACTGGTACGCTGGCATAGCGAGAAAGCTGCTCGATGATGTTTTGGAAGATATTCTCCAGTGCGGTCCTGTCGCAGTCGTAATTGAGATATATCTCAACTAACGCACGCGGGTCGTCTGCCAATCTTTCCAGAATTTCCATAAAATACTGCTTCTGGAAAGCGGGCGCATTTCGCTTCTCAAGTATAGCTAAATAAATCTCTTTCAAGAACACTTCAAGTTCTTTTTTCATCATCACTCTCATATGCTTGAGCATAAGCCAGAAAATTTCACAGCACACCTCGAAAACTCTGGGCACCGAGCTGGAGCCGTTTCGGCTAAGACTTAGGCAAAGGTGAGGCCGAACAGCTTGCAGAAGAGTCATAGCATCCGAGCTGTTGGAGCTTTGCTTGATCGTCAATAGAGGGGACGTGAAAACGGCAATGTGAGTGTTGATTAGATAGTGAATGTGGTGCAGAGACAACAGTTTTGATCTCATGTTTTGAGACTTCAAATCCTGCTGCTGTTCGTGGCTAAGAATCTTGTGACTCAGCTTGCATAGAGCTCGGAAAACCAGAAAAGCATCTTTAACATATACTTCGTCTTCATCATCATCTAAGCCTTCACCGTCTTCTCTCTCCTCCCCTGAAATCGATAAGGACCTCACTGGGGTCTGGCGGGCCTTGGCGCGCGTAACTGTCGTTGGAGCATTATCATTCAAAGATGTAATGTCTTTGTTCGACTCAAAACTTTGCAATGTCAACTTCTCGGTAGGCTCCTTAGCAACGGGTTGATCCGGGACGGTAGCAGAGGCGACGTCAGACGCTTGGTCTTCATCATTGGTTTGAGGGGTTTCCGTAGGATCCAGGGTTACAGTGTCAGAAGAGGACCCCTGTGCCTTTTCGCCATCGCGCATATGTAGTTCTTTCAATTCAAGCCTCACACGAACACGATCAAAAACTGTGCTGACCATCTGAGTCAACGATCCCTGGGCGATCTGCTGGTTTTGACTGGACTTAGAATAGATAAAAATATTGTATATCTGGCGTACAGCTTTAAGGAGGCCAGCTCCGTGAACCACAATCTTGTCATTCAGAACTGCCGCAAGGAGTGATTTTAGTATTTGTTGTTGGACCTCGATGGGCGTAGCTTCGTTTTCGAAACAGTCGCAGATCGCATCGATAGCTCGTTCAATCAGCGGTGGATACTCTTGCGTGGGTTCGGTTTGGGAGACATTGCCGTCCTGAGCACTAGGGAAAGCGAAGTATGAATAGGTGATAAGTTTCCCTATGCAATCGAGTGCTGTTACTTGCAGAGGGACACTAAGAGTCTTGGTTGCAAGAAGTAAAGGGCGAAAGATAACTTCCGGATCTATGGGTTGGCCATCCGATTGCTTTACATTCGCAATCGCACTCTTCACGGCGTCCTCTAATTCTTTGGTTCTCCGGGCTTCTCGGGATGCGCCAATGGTGTCAAGCGCTGTTACAATGAAGACAGTGGAGCTAACGGGAACTGAACGGTGTGTTGCAAATGTAGCAGTCGTTGATCTCGAATCTGAGCGCACGCGAGAGTCCGGGGCAGGTACATCTTGAGGCGGTACAGATTCTATATCTGGGTTCTCGTCGGGAGAGCTCTGTTCGAGACTAACATCCTGTCCACCGTCTTGTGTGTTGTCTGCGTTTTCATCCTTCGCTTCCGACTGTTCGGATGCTGGGGGCTCGACAGCGTCCTTCGCGGGGGCTGAAGGTGTTTCTACAGGCTCAGTAGGTTCAGTAGGGTCCAATTCGCTTTGTACTTGCTTGTGACCTTGTGAATCATCCACATCGATTTTTAGGCATTCCATCTCCTCGGGGAGCGTGGGCTTGTCCTCTTGGACAGCATCGGGGGTTTCGGAGTGCGTGGAAACATCTACCCCATGCTCTTTGTTGTCTGCCTGCGACAGAGCCGGAGGTGTTTGGGTTGGCTCATCGGCAGAGCCATTCTCAACTTCCGCCATTTATGCGAGACTCCGTCCGGAGCAATCCAAATAAGGCATATGAGGGGTCCACATGGACAAGTAAATTCAGTACTAGAAGCAGTGAGGAGAGTAGCACTCCATACTAAGTTACTAGCCCGCTAGTGGAACTGATGCGTGTCTTCTCCGGCGGACGGGGATAATCTACGGACGCCGATTCGTGCCAGGTACGCGACGGAGACCTGCTTACAACTTACCTAAGCAGGACACCGGCGGCACCCGGCGACACTATTCCGATCTCTCACCGGGAAGCTCAACAGAAAAGTTCCTAGAGCTGCACTTCTCAACTCTTTGATACCGGGCCCTTCCACCTGCCAGATATACCTTTCGCCCGCCCTTCCACCCTCTCTCCTCTCTTTGTCGCATCCCGGGCCCTTTCATCGTATCATACTCACAGCATTCAGGCACCATGGTCGCCAGTGCTGTCCGGATGCGCACTCCCAGCGCCATGCTCATCAAAGGCGCCTCCTCCCTGAGGAGGCCGCAGGTTATGCACAGATTCAAGGATGCTGTTCAGTATGTTATAGCCTGCGCTCTAACTCTCAAATTTCATATTCAAAAAGGCTGACGTTGTTATCCCTATTTTCAGACCCCAATTGCCCGCCTTCGCTGCCCTTTCCCGCTACTATGCCTCCAAGTGTACGCCCGTCCAGATTTTATCCCTACTATCTCATAGTGCAGTCCTCGAATTCTAACATGTCGAGTTGCAGCCTTCCCCCCTCACACTATCATCAGCATGCCTGCTTTGTCGCCAACAATGCTTGCTGGAAACATCGGTGCCTGGCAAAAGAAGCCCGGCGATGCCCTGCAGCCCGGAGATGTTTTGGTCGAGATTGAGACCGATAAGGCACAGATGGACTTTGAGTTCCAAGAAGAAGGTGTCTTGGCTAAGGTTCTGAAGGAAACTGGTGAGAAGGAGGTTGCTGTCGGTTCCGTATGTGCTGCGATGCAAATTTTCATTGTATCCCCGTATTGCATTTACTAATTGCGCGTCAACAGCCTATCGCCGTCCTCGTTGAAGAGGGCACTGATGTTTCGTCATTCGAGTCGTTCACCGCTGAGGATGCCGGTGGTGACAAGGGTGCTGCCCCAGCTCAGGAGAGCAAGGAAGAGTCCAAGGGTGCTGCTGATGCTGCTCCCGCTTCTACAGCTGCCCCCGAGCCTGCTGCTCAGGAGCCCGAGACATCGGGTGAGAAGCTTCAGCCCAGTCTTGACCGCGAGCCTACCATCAGCCCCGCTGCTAAGGCTCTTGCTCTGGAGAAAGGTGTGCCAATCAAGGCCCTTAAGGGTACTGGCAGAGGCGGTCAGATCACCAAGGAGGATGTTGAGAAGTACAAGCCCAGCGTTTCTGCCGCTGCTGGCCCTACCTATGAGGATATCCCTCTTACCTCCATGCGCAAGACTATTGCCAACCGCCTTCAGCAATCTACTAGAGAGAACCCCCACTTCTTCGTCTCGACTACTCTGTCTGTCACCAAGCTTCAGAAGCTCCGCCAGGCCCTTAACGCCTCCGCCGATGGCAAGTACAAGCTTTCCGTCAATGACTTCCTTGTCAAGGCTTGTGCTGCTGCTCTTCAGAAGGTACCTGCTGTCAACTCCAGCTGGCACGAGGAGAACGGTCAGGTTGTCATCCGCCAGCACAAGACTGCCGACATCAGTGTTGCCGTTGCCACCCCTGCTGGACTGATCACTCCTGTTGTGAAGAACGTCCAGGGTCTCGGCCTCTCCAGCATCTCTAACTCTATCAAGGACCTTGGCAAGCGCGCTCGCGACAACAAGCTTAAGCCGGAGGAATACCAGGGTGGCACTTTCACCATCAGCAACATGGGAATGAACCCTGCCGTTGAGCGGTTCACTGCCGTTATCAACCCCCCTCAGGCTGGTATCCTGGCTGTCGGAACCACCCGCAAGGTTGCCATCCCTGTCGAGACCGAGAACGGTACCGAGGTTGAGTGGGACGACCAGATCATTGTGACTGGTAGCTTCGACCACAAGGTGGTCGACGGTGCTGTTGGTGCTGAATGGATTAAGGAGCTGAAGAAGGTTGTTGAGAACCCCTTGGAGCTGCTGCTCTAAGGTCGATCTGGTCTGTTTGGGATTCCAAAATGCCAGATGTATTACCTATCTACGACCGGAGTTCCTTTTAGCATTTGTTTTAATATGTATTAAAAATCATTCTAGTGTTTTTTGACCGTAATTGGTCTGTCAAGTACAGTGCATCAGATCTAAATCCATTTCCTATGTTCCCTTGAGAATTCTATTCCCGGGTCAAATCCGTAGTTAGGCTGTTGTCGACAGCAGAGGCGACTGATTGAAGACAATTCGCTAAGCCCAGTACTAATCGTAAGCCGCTAACCATGTTCCAAATTAATTTAATTCCTTTCGACTCAATTCTCGACGAGGGCCAAGCCTTTTTCTTTACAGTCGAATGTGACCATGGCGGGTCTTGGCAGTGCTCCAACTCCACCGGCTGATCAGTGACGTGATGTCATTCTTTCACGGCTGCTCCTGCGCCCTGGCATTCATATAAATCCATGCATGCGTCTTTTCTCAAACTTTACTTCATTTCCATCTGACAGTGTCTTTAAAGTGCCATTCTCAATTCTCCCTTCGATCAGTATCACTTTCCTCTAACTTTTTCAGGTAGGCCAATATTGTGTCCTCTACCAACCATGATAGATTTCGTGTTACAGTCTTCTAGCCATGCTTCCGCCGAACTAACTCTGTCGCAGACCATAATTACATAACCTTCCAATCTTCTATCTACGTGGCACTCCGAACATGTCCTACGCCGAAGTAGCCGCTAAGGGCCCAGAACAATCTGCAGAAGAGGTATGTGACATCCCGTTCCCTACCTTCTTTACCTCCAATAAACTTGCACTTGTTGGTGTCAGGACTAACTCTCCAGTTAGGCGTAAGTCGACACATGGCCTGTCTACAAAGCTAGTTATGCACCTGAATGTCCCTCTGACTAATTGAAATAAAGCCGTGCCCCAAGCGTTGGTGGGGTCTATAAGGATGAATCCGAGAGCACCGCCTCGTTAGTCGATGTAGATTCACAACACGTCACCGTCGTGGAGTCAAATTTCCTGGATCAAGACATCAAGACCACCACTCAAGCTGAGCGGGTAGAAAGGGAAGAGTCTGAGGGAAACAAGAAAGCGAGGGAAGAACAGAAAGCTAAAGCCAAGGCCAGGGCCAAGGCTAAGGCTTCTGGCGTATGCCGCAACTCGGATAATCCGGTCTATATCGGCAATGCTGTGCTTCTGAGCTTGGTAGGCGCAGGGCTGGGGTTCGGTGCATACCGGAAACATGCTGAAGGCAAACTCTCCTGGGAGCTGATTGGGCTTTGGTCCGGTGCTGTTGGGGCATTTGGTGCAGTTGATTATTTCGTCAGCAAGTAAGTTGGTGTGCTCAATGTCAACCTTTAAGCCCTTTTGCTAATGCTTAAATCTATCAGGTGGTTTCTTCAGAACAAGTACCCTCCCAAATAGATGGAGAGTATTGCTGTTCCTGGCGTTCAGTTTCGGGGCCTGTTCTATATGATTTATCATATATTGCATCATAGCTCTGTTACCCACACTTCCCAAGGGCTGGAGTTGGCGCAGTGGTGGATTTTATTGTTGTATCAGTAATTCATAATGGCATACCCTTCTCCTCATTTGTCATTGGAGTATCATTGTTGTCTATATATTTGAACTAACCAAAGTATGTCACGAGTAATTGAGCCTCAAGTACAGTACAACCAAATCAATCATGAGCCATAGAATGACTAAGCTCAATGCCAGTCATGTCAACGGGTCATTAAGCAATAATAAAATTTGCAAAGGTCAATTTGTAGTTGAGTATGGCTAGGAAACAATGACAATTGAAATAGTTGACATGCTAAAAAAAGCAGCGCCAGGAGGCGGTCAGCGACGTCAGAATTGTGCGACTGCAAGAACATGTGGCCTTGGCCGGCTTTATCTACAAGACGTAGTAAAGGTACAAACAAAACTCCCACATTGCTGTTCCACCAAAATCACATATTATTGAGATTTGCTCAGCGAATTGCACGCAAGGTCCTCCTACAACACCAGACTCTGTCATATACCATCCGGTTTCCTAAGCCTGTACTGTGTTTATATGCAAAGAGCCCACCGTAACGGCGTTGCCTGTGGAAAATGGTACGCTACTTGTGCTGACATCTGGTTATTGAATTGTGTCTAACAGGTGTATTCTGCGCAGAACTCTCTTTTTAATTCGGCTTTGAAGCAGTCCTCTGCTATCCGTCGAGATCTGGACACATTCGCGCAGTCTCCTGCCACGTCCTCGCCCGCATTACAAGGTACTGACTGAACTTTCGCACTACAAAATTAAACAAGTAGGAGCCTTCAGTTGTGACGGAAACTAATGTAACGCTATAGGCCAGATCGCAGCTTCACTTGCTTCCTTATCACGCACAGTCGATGACTACTCAGCTTTATCGAAGAAAGAATTGATACCCGAAAAACAGCAGAAAGCGTTCGAGAGAGTAAAGTATGAAACTATAGCAAAGTTGATCATCGAGACAGGCTGACTGAGACATGGTTCTGCAGTAATTTTCGGTCGGAGCTCGCAGATTACCGACTGCATTTCGATCGGCTACGCAAAGAACGAGAGGATGCGGTAAGTTTGTTGAGACTTGTTTGGACGCTGCCAACCATGATGTTCGCTGACCCTAATAATTTTGGATGTTATAGCAATCCGTGACAAACCGTAATGAACTACTTGGTCGACGTCCACATCACACAGCGACACCAGAAAACCCATACGCCCAATCCTCCCTTCCACAGTCGTCGGCCTTCGCTCCGTCTTCGTCCCGCGGTGGGCTCAGTTTCGGCGCTTCGCCCGCAGATTACAACCGTGAGACTCATGCGCTTCGCGAGCAATCCTTCTTGGCCAACACGGGCACACAGCTTGATGATTTCCTGGACCGGGGACGTGCTGTGCTTGCGGATCTTGGACAGCAGCGAGAAGTGTTGAAGGGGACGCAGCGCCGGCTGTATAGTGTTGCTAACACCCTGGGAGTCAGCGGTGAAACCATTCGAAAAGTGGAGCGACGGGCAAAGCAGGACAAGTGGATTTTCTGGGGTGGGGTCGTGATATTCTTCCTCTTCTGCTGGGCTGTATTGCACTTTTTGAGATAATTTATGATCTTTTTGTTGACTGTCGGTGTGGGTTCTCTGGATGTTGCTTGGGTTTGTTTCGCAAGCGCAGGTGTTCGGATTGCATTATGATATCATTCTATACTCTTTTTATATTTTCTTTTGTAACTATATGCCATTGAGTTCAATTGAACGGCTACATGATCATGAATGTGATGGACTGTTCGAGTTGAGACCAGGAACCAAAATAAACACAAGTCGGGTATTAAACAAATTATATTATACGAGGGTTGAGGCCGGTCCCCATGTGAAGTGACGAATGATTCCGAGTCAGCCGTGCGTGGGGAAAGAATCGGAAACGGAGCGATTTAGCCGCCAACAAACCAAATTCGTTAGTGAATTCCTTCTCACCGGCAACCAACGGCCGCCGATTCCTCTTCCCTTTCTTCCTTTCTCCTTTCTCATCCTCTTTTCTTTTCTCTCTCCACCTCACCTCTCCATTTCTCCTAGATAGAATTCATTCTATCCATTCCTACACATCATTCACAATGTTCGCTGCTCGCCAGTCTTTCAACCTCCTCCAGAAGCGCGCCTTCTCCGCCTCTGCCAGCCAGGTGTGTGATTGAATCCATTGAACCTTTCTGTTTCTGGACCTCGGAGCTAGCTCTGCAACAACAAATCCAACATACTAACTTACCTTCTTGTTCACAGGCTTCCAAGGTTGCCGTCCTTGGTGCCGCTGGTGGCATTGGCCAGCCCCTCTCCCTTCTTCTCAAGCTCAATCCCCGTGTTTCTGAGCTTGCCCTTTATGACATCCGCGGTGGCCCTGGTATGTTTTTGCACAGCTTGCAACATCTCCGACTTCGGTGGTTCAGGACAGGACTAACATGGGTGATGCAACAGGTGTTGCCGCTGATCTGAGCCACATCAACACCAACAGCAACGTTGCTGGCTTCGACCCTACCCCCTCTGGCCTCCGTGATGCTCTTAAGGGCGCCGAGATCGTTCTCATCCCTGCTGGTGTTCCTCGCAAGCCCGGCATGACCCGTGACGGTATGGACATCCTGACTTTTCAATGGCACCGGGAACTGAATACTGATTGCATCATCGCCAGACCTCTTCAACACCAATGCCTCCATTGTCCGCGACCTTGCTAAGGCCGCTGCCGAGGCTTCCCCCGAGGCCAACATCCTCGTCATCTCCAACCCTGTATGATGGTTTTCACCCAATGTCAACAGTTTTCTCGCGCTAATTGCAATTAGGTAAACTCCACCGTCCCCATCGTCTCCGAGGTCTTCAAGTCCAAGGGTGTCTACAACCCCAAGCGTCTCTTCGGTGTCACCACCCTTGACGTTGTCCGTGCCTCTCGCTTCATCTCTCAGGTCCAGAAGACCGACCCCTCCAACGAGGCCGTCCCTGTCGTCGGTGGTCACTCCGGTGTGACCATCGTCCCTCTTCTCTCTCAGTCCAACCACGCCAGCATTGAGGGTGAGACCCGCGATGCTCTTGTCAACCGCATCCAGTTCGGTGGTGATGAGGTTGTCAAGGCCAAGGATGGTGCTGGCTCTGCCACCCTCTCCATGGCCATGGCTGGTGCTCGCATGGCTGAGTCCCTCCTCAGGGCCGCCCAGGGTGAGAAGGGTGTCGTTGAGCCCACTTTCGTCGACAGCCCTCTCTACAAGGACCAGGGTGTTGACTTCTTCGCCTCCAAGGTTGAGCTCGGCCCCAACGGTGTTGAGAAGATCCTCCCCGTTGGCCAGGTCAACGCCTACGAGGAGAAGCTCCTCGAGGCTTGCCTTGGCGACCTCAAGAAGAACATCCAGAAGGGTATTGACTTCGTCAAGGCCAACCCTTAAATTACTCTCATGAGGTAAACTAGACCGTCTGCAGCTCTTTTCCTCCTTGTATAATAGTCTTGTGTATGACATTTTACGCCTATTACCCATCGTGTATGCTTCCACTTGCATCGGCTTTATATTGGAGGAGATGCAGCTGCAGTTTGTTTCTGGAGCAATGACGAGCTGATGGATAGTCAAATTGACGATTCCTTCTGCGCCGTTTCATGATGGCAAAGGCGATGAACATGTATTTCTTAAACATTTCCAAAAATATAATTGATTCCCCTGATTTCCGTATTCCACCCGAAAGCCTTGCCTAAGATATCCTGTACACAACCTGTAGCCATGATGCGATAAGTGACAAAACTAATCGACCCGCTTTACCGAGGCATATAGATCGATCTTATCTGATGCGATGTGATTATCTTGGTATCCATTCTTAATTCTGTCTTTATTCCTTTATCTCTTATCCTAACCCCTAGAACTAGGCCACCTGCAAGGTTTTCGTGAATTCAACCCCCATCGTTAAAACAAGAAATACCAATCAAACCAAGACCCGCCACAGACATGAAACATAAACAAAAGACGAAAGAAATGCACGAAAAGAGGAGAGAGAAGGCCAGGATCACATAGGCTATGCCTCAGTCCGCGAAAAAACAAGGTCAGGAGATAAATAAATTAATAAAATGAATTGAACACGAACGAATAGCTAATCTCTCGAGGAAAAAATCGCGACGATTTCGTAATATCTCATTTCATTTCTCATTGCATTTCTCATTGCGTTTCTCATATTCTTGTGTCAGTTATCGTTCGTAAGTCGTATCTGCTCTTAAATTTGTTGTGTTTTATGTGTAGCTTCTCATCGCATCGATGTATCCTGTTCCACCGCGGAGATCGTGGTCGAATGTTTCTGCTACCTCTAAGACCCTCTTGATGTGTTCCATGGAGAGAGGGGTTCTCTCGTTGACGGCTAGGGCTTGCGCGGTGCGAACTGAGTTTTTGATCTGGGGGTATGGATTAGTTTTGGGTTCTTTAGGATGGATTGGAGGTATTGTGGATGGGGTAAGCTTACCTGTCGTCCGTTGAGGTTATGGCGAGCCAGAGCGTCAAAGTCTTTCTCGGTAAAGGTTGCTGTTTGCACGCCGTCCATAGCTTGGACTTTCTCGAGGAACATTTTCCATACGCTTCGCTTCGCCTTGGTGGTGAGGTCGCCGTATCGCAGGGCGACGTGGATACGGGATTGGAAGGCATCGTCGAAGGTTTCCACACGGTTAGTTGTCAGGAAAAGAATACCTTGGAAGTACTCTAGGAGACGGAGGAAGATGCTAACGAGAGCATTGCGGTGGATATCCTGGATCGTGCGCTTCTCGAGGAATATATCTGCTTCGTCCAGCAGGAGCACGGCGCCCCAGGAATGGGCGATATCTAAGATCTTGTTGAGCTCAGCTTCCAGGGTCCGGGAGTCCGTTCCGAGCTCTCCCGCGCTGACCATGTACAACGGACGTTTGAGCAGCTCGGCGATGCCTTCGGCTGTCAGGGTTTTACCTGTGCCTGGCGGTCCGTGGAGCACAGCGACTAGACCTTTGCCCTTGCCTTGAATAACGTCGTCGATGTTCTGTGCGGCGCAGAAAGTGTGGGATTCCACAAGGGCCTTGACAATTGATTTCTGATTGCCTGGAAGGACCAGGGAATCGAATGCGTCTTCATTCCAGTCGATGTCGCTGATGCCCGAGATGCTGAATTCTAGCCACAATTTCTCGCTGAAGGCAAATCCCAGAACCACCGGACTGGCTATTAGCAGTTCTTCTTCGGTGAAGTCTCTCTCGGATGGGTCCTCTACTTCGTCCATTTGCTCTTTGTGGATTTCATTGCCATTCTCATCTAGCTCAACTTCAACCACGTGCGGTGTGCCCTCCTTATCCTGGATGACCTTGTACCGAACTCTAGGGGCATCTGAGTCCCGACGGTGGACATATGGGTCATCTGAGTCAGATTCTGTCACGCAGCAGCATCCGCCATCACTACCGGCAGCGTCGGAGTCATCGATATAATCTGCATCTTTCGGGCGGACAGTGCTGATGGGATAGTTAGGGTTGATCCGGCGGTGAATGGCAGGATCGATCATAACTCTTCCGTTGATGTTGACTTTGATGACAGACCGCTTCTTCTTGTAGAAAGCCATGCCTTTGTGGAACCGGTAGTTCATACCTCTCATTGATACAAACTTCTTGCCTCTCTCAATTAGCTTGCTTTTAACGTCTTCAGCCTCTCGATGGTACTTCAGCGGGTAACAGCTGAGGCTGGTTATCTTGCGAGCACCCTTGAAGCTTTCCACTTCAGCCAGCATTGTTCCCATGCCAAAGGATTTCCCGTCATATTCAAGGTAGCGGCCTTCAATACTGTACCACTGACCTTTCATGAACGAGGACTCCTTGGTGGCATACTCGAGCTTAAATGCCCGTGGCTCGTCCTGGTTCCCGTACGTTGGGGTGTATGCAATGGTGTTCGGCTTGAACAACGCCCAAAGTAGATCGAAGGTTATTGTGTTGGCTTCCAGCAGCGGATACAGGGTCTTCTTAGTCTCAGCGTAGTCCGTATCCAGGTACTTGACGAGAACCTTGAGATGGGCCGCCTTGGCTGCAGCTACCTTTTTAGCTTTTTTCTTTTTCTCCGTTTTCGCCTGTTGCTTTAGGTCTTTCATGTATTGGCGGGTTTCTTCAAAGTATAAGAAAAGCATATTGGGGTCAACGACGGCCGTCTCCTGCACTAAGCTGACCCCCTTAACGCCGTCCATCACCTTGGTGAGTGCATCGCGAATGTACTTGCTTTTCAAATCTACCACGGTTTCCGTGTACTTGTTATCCCAGTCAAATTTGCGGCGTACGGTGAAGAGATACTGGTCCCATTCATTGGCATCTGGGTCATCCACAGTCTCTGTAAGCTTGAAGTTATGGATAGTATTATCCCACACTGAGGCCCATCTGGTTAGCACTGGCCGTTCTGATCAGCAGATAGATCAAGGTTCACACATACATTCATCTACCCGCTTGAAAGCTATCTTTGAAGCAGCTTTCTTCCTGCCCTTGGACTTTCTTTCGCCGTCGGATGAGTTCCGTTTACCACGGGTTCTGTTACGACGCCTACCATCGCCTCGTTTCAGTCTCAATGAGGCTAATCGCTCTTCCGCAAGCAAGAGTGCCGTGTCGTCCGGGTCAGCTTCGTCGTCTGAGTCCTCCAGGTCCTCCGATGAGTCCTCCTGGGACCGGAGTTTCTTAGCCTTTTTTCGCGCCCTGAGCTTGGATACAAGCCGCTTAACAGCCTTCTCATCGAGGGCGGTATCGTCGTCTTCACTTTCATCTGGGTCGGACTCAGACTCGGATTCATATTGCGACCGGGACTTCTTCTTCCGACTGCTTCTCAGCGATTTCTTTGTCTTGTTCTTTGTCCCTCTCCGCCGATGCGTCCTTTCTGGCTCGGATTCAGATGGACTGGAAGGAGATTCTTCGTTTTCGGATGCAGATTCCTCAGCGCTGGAGCTATCGGCAGAAGAATCCGACTCCTCGGAACTATCATCACTAGGTGTGACTACGGACGATGTCTTGGACTTATGGCTCTTCTTTTTCGAATCGCGATTGCGGCCATTAGGGTCTTTTTCCTTGGACGGATGTTTTTTGCAAGCCGAGGCGCTTTCCGATACGGCGACGGGTGATTTCGAATCTGGCTTGATAGTATTGTTGTCGACCGGCGGCTCGGCCTCATGTTTATTTTCCGACCCGGCGGCGGCGGCAGTCGTCACACTGGAATCGGCCATGGCTTCAGGGCGCTGATTAGATAGGGCCCGCTGTGGAGCTGCTTCGGGGAGCGGAGCAGATGGGGTCAAGAGCGGATCCGAGCTTTGCTCTTTTTGTGGCTCGGGCTCGGTGACGGACTGTTGAGCTGTGTTGTTAGAGCTAGAATCCAGAGGGGTAGCACTGGATGACATTGTCAGTGACCTCTAGCAAGTGGGAGGGAATATAGTCGTGACAGGTTTAATACGGGGTATTATGAATGAAAAGGAGGATTGGGGTGTGAATGTTTTAGTGCCGGTGGATCAGGTGCACGAGGAGGAGGGCGAAGATCAATACATATAATATACCACAATGAGCGGAATAAACCAGCTTACCTGAACTGACGTACGAGCTCTGACGCCTAAGCCCAGAGATCACAGGCTAGGTTGGCGCCTTGCTTCGTATAATTGGAATGGATTGGCCGAACGACTAGAGGGCTCTTCTGGCGGTGAGAATGAGGCGGAAGATGTCCAATGCCCTACGACTTGGGCGCGGGCTGTATCGAGAACGAAAGAGCAGTAGGTAGCATGAAAGCAACCTTACCGCGGAAGTTGAAAGGGAATCGTGAATCACGGAGCGGAGACTGGCGTGGTCATGGAGGGAATTGACGAGGAAGTTCTCCGGGAAAGTAGCAGTAAGAGAGGGATCGTGAGATGATGGCACGTTATAAAAGGACTACTGATGAAAACAAGGCAACAATGCACAGGGACAGATTGTTGGACAGTTACGGATTCTAGGAAGACGCAAAGCAGTGATGCCTGAGAGCTGCATGTCCCAATCACGGCTCTGCCTGAGGCGCTGACTTGTCGGCGCTTCTGTTCAGCCCCACGATGCAGGCATCCCTACCAATGATTGTTTGCCCCAGAAATACATTCTAATGGTGCAGATCCAGAATGGAGTCTTTTTCTTTTAATGGATTTTATTTGTTCTCTGCCTAATTTAGGTATTCATGACTCACTACGACCAGTATTCCTACAGGGCTGTAACTCTATATCGGCCAGATGATCACCGGGCAACTAGAATATCCCATATACTAGAACATTTCATTGCTTTTCAGCCTGAAGGATGCCTTGGGGAGAGACCATAAGTAATAATAAAGTAAAACAAAATAAAATCAAAGATCGTCATGAGTCAAAGGACCAGACCTGCCGATCTTTGGGTTACACCACTGAGACCGCAGGAATCGGCGATGATTTCCAGTCTCTTTCCTCTTCCCCTCATCCCTGCCTTTGAAACGCATGCAGGTAGTCTGTGCGTTAGTGCAGCTGTACTGTACTTTTTGCTCTTAGGGCACTGAGCTATATCTATCGGTGATTCTCGAGGGGGATGCAGGTCGGAGTAAGGGATAGCGTACTGAGAAGTACTCTAAATATAGTAGTAATACCTAGCTCTCTCTCAGAGTAGATTATATGCAGTGAGGGTTAAATAAAAGAAGAAAAGGAGGAAGGGAAAAACAAACGACTATTCGAGTGACAGTCACAGATCGCATTTGGGGTGCATTTAGTTCAAGTTACCTCTAGCTAATCCACTGGAATCCCAGTCCCGAACACTTGAGCTCAGCCGAGTATGGACAAGGATGAGGGTGTAATCCGAACAGGATTTATTCCGATTGAATAACCTCGTACCAGATGTGCCCACCTGGACAGAACTCTCGTCAGCTGAAGAACTAAACCGGATTTTTTTTTTGGCCCTATCGTGGCTTATCGGTCGACTTTAAAATCAGCCAGAGTATGTGTTAGACTTGACTTCATGGAGCAGAGTTAGGTGCAGGATTCTACTGAAAATTCGCCATTCATCTTCAATTGTATCTAGCCCAAGTACCTACTTGCCATGCCATTTCCTACCTCAAATTTGCCTTCCACCTCCCATGGAAACCCAACAAACATCAAAGCCTCTCATTCCTCCTCCTTGACAGCATCGAGATGGTTATTGCTCTTAGCCAAATCTTTGAACTTCTTCTGCAAAGCAGCAACGGGATACTTCTTCCCACCATCAGTCTCAATAGCCTCCATAAGTCTAGACCACTTCTCCTGCTCAAACTTCTCCTCAATTCCCTTCTTCAAACGAAGAAGTCTCGCTTCCTACGCACAACTACCGTCAGCATATATCATCACCAAGTCCAGGAAAAGTAGTGAAAAAAAAAAAAAGAAAAAAAAAAGAAAAACATACATCTTCCCCAGTAAACTCCACAAAATTCGCTTTCATAGTCGTATACCTCATTCGAAGCGTACTAGTCCCCACCTTGATACCAGTCATCTTCATCCAAGACTCGTTAATCTCACCCCAGTTTTTGCCCTCTTCATCCCGCATCTGGATAATCATTCGATCGGATAATCCGGCCGCCTCGAAAGAGGTCGGGATGGGTCCGATGGTTTTCTTTGAGGGGCTGGACCCCGCTGCTGCCTTGGCCTTCTTGGGAGGTGAGGCTTTCTCACCGTTGGCAGCGGCGGATTTCTTGCCGCGCTTGGTGGGGGTACTTGTTGCTGCGGCCTGGAGATTTTGTTTAGTTCGTTGGTTAGCGGCTTGGTGGCCAGGGGAAAGGGCTTACTGAGGGGGACGGGACCGAAGGTTCAGCAGTATTGCCGTTGATGGGGGTGAATTCGAGCATGGTGCTCTCCTGGGAGGCGGGCGTGGGTGGAGTTGGAGGTGCTTGGTCCATTGTTGGCTGGCTGGCTGGCTGGATGGTTGGTAGGTAGATACGTGGATGGTGTGAGAGGTGAGCTGGGATTCGAGATATCGAGTTTTCGGTCGTGGATGGTAAGAGAGAGCAGCGTAGTAACACTGCGGCTGTTCAGGCTATGGATGTTGAAGTGATTAGAATATCAAGGTAGTCTGATGAGATGAAGGGACTAGTGATTAGAGGAGCACGGTGAAATAAAGGAGGTCCTAATCGATTCGCTAGAAAAACAAGTGTTGCTGGGTCACTAAGATTCTCTGATCAGTGAATGTGTTGAGACTTGACGATTACACTGCCAGTATTGGTGAAAGATTGTAGAGGATTAGAAGGCCTGAAGCTTCGATTATATCCAGGTGGGGACACAATAAATTGTTCTACGGCACTCTCTCTTTAAAACTAAAGCAGAGAAGTCAGATCGTTGAGTAATGTTATCCGTAGGCTAAGGAACGGATTGGCACGTAAAGAGCTGGGCTAGATGCAAATCAAAGGGATATAGCTGGACAGCCGTGTAAGCTCCTTGGAAAATAATCGCGGGTTACCAGACAATATCACGTTCGGATACCTTACTGAGTCGTAGAATGGCAATGCTACTGGAAATGCTGCTGCCTGATGCATATGCGAATTGATTCAGAACAGACCCCGTAGCCCATGTGGTAAAAAGGAAGAGAGGAAAAATGAAAGGAAAACCAATACCCAACAGACTCCCAAGGATATCGTAGAACATCCCACTTTGACAATCACGCCGAAGGTATCTATGTGCGCCAGAAAAAATCAAGACAAGCTGATAAATGCACAAAGTAGACCATTTCAAAGAACACTCATTTCCCGATGCCCATCTCGCATAATATCTGAATCGCCGTTCCTATCTATCATGGAATCATCGCTCTCGGTCCGCGTAACCATCGCCGGTCGAATCTTGGCTCCAACAAATCCTCGTCGGTCTCGTCCGGTGCGGCCACGGCCGAGCCAGTTGTGCTTAAGCGCTTTGCTCAGGAGCTCGATTTTCTCTTGCGGTTTGCCGCCCGTCTGCACACTGGCTAAAACACTAACGCATTGAAGCATCCGACCAACAGTCTCCGTGATGAGATGAGACGTATCGGGAGTATGAGACGACCGATGGATGATGGTCGGCCGCTGTGTCGGGGACGAAAAAGATTGGAAAATGAGCTGGTCAGGGTTGGAGGAAGTGTTGGAAGCAGCGCGGCTGCGGTTGCAGCTCATAGAATCTGAAGAGTAACTGGCTGCAGCATTGAGGAGGGTGGAAGACTGAGAATTGTAGCTGCCAAAACCGGCATCCAGCGAGGCAGCCGTTGCAGGCCGGCCACTGCTACTGCTGCTCTTTGTCGTTACACTGAGGGCAGAATTGCCCAGGTTGATGCTTTCAAGACTCAAACGGGAAAATGTAGCCTTAAGGCCGTCGTAGCGATAAAGAATGACCTTATCGCGGAAAGCTATCAGCACAAGGTTGCGGACTTCCAGCTCACACCCGGGATAGTCCCCATTCAAGGCGGCAGCCCAAAACTCGCGGGCCTCTCGGAGGTTCATCACAGTCCCGCAACCCCTGAACTCAAGGTCCAAAGGTAAGAAGACAGCCTGTATGAACGGAAGAATTGTGCCAAAGACAAGCATCCATATCTGCACCAGATGAGGGACCAGCTTCTCATCGGGTATGCCATTTAATGTATGATTCAAGGATGCAAATCCGGTTTCAAGTAGCTCCCGTAGATCATCAACAATGGCGGATGGTGTGCGCTTTTGCACACAGCGCTGGATGTGAATCAACACTAGCTTGTTGAGATCTTCAATAGATATACGGACGTCTTCCCCATCGAAAATCACCAACAGCTTAGCCTTCAGGAAATCCCACGCATCCTCCGGTGACATGTTGTTCAGGCCAAAGCCCTGTAAGGTCTCTCGAAGAGCAGCCTCCGTGAGACCTCCGGCCGAGCCAATTGATGATGGCCCCGCAAATACAGTCGATGCACCAGCGCCTGTTGGGCCAGCCATCCATTCATGCTGCTCCGACTCCGCCATCGCCTTCTCCTTCTCCTTTTCTTCCTTTTTCTTTTCCCGTAATGCTCGGCCACCGTGAAGGATATCCAACCCACTCACCGATTTGCCAAACGTAGTCGACGTTGGACCCGGAGAAGCAGGTGTAAACGAGTATAGTGATTGGGGAGCGTTCGGGTCGGACGGTTTGGAGTTACTGGAAGCAGAAGATAGCGGTAGATTGTAATGATCATCCCGGTCCTTCAGTTTCAACTTTTGCCGCGACAAGAAATGATGCTTATGGGCCTTTTCCTTATC